GAGAGAGAGAGAGAGAGAGAGAGAGAGAGAGAGAAAGAGAGAGAGAGAGAGAGAGAGAGAGAGAGAGAGAGAGAGAGAGAGAGAGATAGGATCTGTCGGGTCTATGTTAGGGATTCAGACTTGGTGTTGACAACATTCCCATCTTCCCCTCTCCTTCGTCTCACCCCCGTCTTCTTCGTCTGTGTATGGCGGGGACTGGCGCTGTCTTCCTGTGTGAGTGCAAGGACCCTTCCCACCATGGAATGATGATGATCTGTATTTAAGGCTGCATTGCAACATCGATTGTTCGGATCATTGGTATGTAAGTCTTCCGCTACACTGTCTTGCACTTTGTGAGAGAGGTCGGTTATAAGCAAGTGAAGCATGATTCCGTCAAAGCTTTAAAAAAAAAAATGCACGATCTTTCAAACAGTCAATCAACCAACCAACCAACCAATCAACCAATCAATCATTCACTCAATCAATTAACCAATCAATCAAATCATCAATCAAACAATCAATCAACCAATCAACCAACCAACCAACCAATCAATCAGTCAATCAATCAATCAATCAACCAATCAATCAATCAGCCAATCAATCAATCAGACAATCAACCAACCAATCAATCAACCAATCAATCAACCAACCAATCAATCAGTCAACCAGCCAATCAATCAATCAACCAACCAATCAACCAACCAATCAATCAACCAATCAATCATTCAATCAGTCAATCAATCAGTCAATCTTTCCGCATGTGTGTGTGTGTGTGTGTGTATGAGTTAGAGGGAGAGAGAGAAAGAGAGGAGAAGGCACAACGGACCCCCTTCCTCCCCCCCTGGGCACCAAGGAGGTCTGACATCCCTCGGTGCTGTGGCCCAGCGACGGGACGGGACGGACTCGTTTCCTCCCTTGGAGCACCGAGGGGGTCCGACGTTCTGAGAACGCCGGACCCCCTGGACGCGACATGGAGAAGGTCCTGCGAACCCCATGTCCCCCGTAGCGCCCAGGGGGTCCGGCGTTCTCAGAACGCCGGAGCCCCTCGGTGCTGCGGCCTACGGACCGGACGGGACAGACTCGCTCCCCCCCCCCCCCCCCCCCCTCGCAGCACCAAGGGGGTCCGGCGTTCTGAGAACGCCGGACCCTATGGGCGCTGCGGGATAGGGAGGGGGCCCTGCGAAACCCATGTTGCCTGCTGCGCCCAAGGGGGTCCGGCGTTCTCGGAACGCCCGACCCCCTCGACATAGCGGCCCTACGACGGGGCAAGATGAGTTGGCCTCCTCCCCCACAACGCCAAGGGGGTCCGGCGTTCTCGAAACGCCGGACCCCTTGGGCGCTGCGGGATAGGGAGGGGGTCCGACGAACCCCTTGCTGCCCAATGTGCCCAGGGGTCCGGCGTTCTCGGAACGCGGGACCCCCTCGGTGTTGCGGGACTAAGAGGGAGTCCGGTGAACCCCATGTTGCCCGCTGCGCTCGGGGGGTACGGCGTTCTCGGAACGCCGGACCCCCTCCACACAGCGGCCCTGCGACGGGGCAGGACGAGTTCGCTTCCTCCCCCACAATGCCAAGGAGGTCCGGCGTTCTCGAAACGCCGGATCCCCTGGGCGCTGCGGGATAAGGAGGGGGTCCGGCGAACCCCTTGCTGCCCAATGTGCCCAGGGGGTCCGGTGTTCTTAGAACGCGGGACCCCCTCGGTGTTGCGGGACTGAGAGGGAGTCCGGTGAACCCCATGTTGCCCGCTGCGCCCGGGGGGTACGGCGTTATCGGAACGCCGGACCCCCTCCACACAGCGGCCCTGCGACGGGGCAGGACGAGTTCGCTTCCTCCCCCACAACGCCAAGGAGGTCCGGCGTTCTCGAAACGCCGGACCCCCTGGGCGCTGCGGGATAGGGAGGGGGTCCGGCGAACCCCTTGCTGCCCAATGTGCCTAGGGGGTCCGGCGTTCTCGGAACGCCGGACCCCCTCGGTGTTGCGGGACTGAGAGGGAGTCCGGTGAACCCCATGTTGCCCGCTGCGCCCCGGGGGGTACGGCGTTCTCGGAACGCCGGACCCCCTCCACACAGCGGCCCTGCAACGGGGCAGGACGAGTTCGCTTCCTCCCCCACAATGCCAAGGATGTCCGGCGTTTCGGATCCCCTGGGCACTGCGGGCTAGGGAGGGGGTCCGGACCCCCCTTGCTGCCCAATGTGCCCAGGGGGTCCAGTGTTCTTGGAACGCGGGACCCCCTCGGTGTTGCGGGACTGAGAGGGAGTCCGGTGAACCCCATTTTGCCCGCTGCGCCCGGGGGGTACGGCGTTATCGGAACGCCGGACCCCCTCCACACAGCGGCCCTGCGACGGGGCAGGATGAGTTCACTTCCTCCCCCACAACACCCAGGAGGTCCGGCGTTCTGGAAACGCCGGACCCCGTGGGCGCTGCGGGATAGGGAGGGGGTCCGGCGAACCCCTTGCTGCCCAATGTGCCTAGGGGGTCCGGTGTTCTCGGAACGGACCCCCTCGGTGTTGCGGGACTGAGAGGGAGTCCGGCGAACCCCATGTTGCCCGCTGCGCCCGGAGGGGTACGGCGTTCTTGGAACGCCAGACCCCCTCGACGTAGCGGACCTGCGACGGGGCGGAACGAGTTCGCCTCCTCCCTCACAACAACAAGGGGGTCTGGCGTTCTCGAAACGCCGGACCCCCTGGGCGCTGCGGGATAGGGAGGGGTACGGCGAACCCCATGTTGCCCGCGGTGCCGAGGGGGTCCGGCGTTCTTGGAACGCCGGGCCCCCTCGCTGTTCTCAGGGTCCGCATACCCGGTCCAGCAAACCCCCCCCCTGTCGCAACAAAGGCTTCTTCGTGTCGCTTAGTTCTGTTCTCTTGTGCTCTTTTTTCTTTTTGGCTCCAGCGCTGCCGGTCGCGCGTACGGGAGGTCTAAACTTAACCACGACAAACCCTAGGCTCTTGATTGGGTCGGTGACCTTCATACATCGGGTTGTGGAGCCGTTGTCTTCTTGAGCGACGACAGCGGCAAGAGTTGGTACTCTTGCGGAGGGGTGGAAAAATCGGAAGTGGGGAGGATTTACTACGACGGCAGAAAGTTCATGACCTTCTTCCTTACGTCTATAAATGACAGAGAGGGGAAAAATTGGGTGAAGGAAGACAAGAAGGTGTCTCTTGACCTTCGGCTCTTCCAGGGATACGGGGTAAAGGCTTTCTCGATGAAAGTGTTTAACGTGCGCGGGAACGGAACAGAGTTCCAAATGCTGGATCCGGAAAAGTTCCTCTCTAAAACCAATGGCTACCGCGTGACTGGGTCCCTGCCCGTCGTCGACAGCGCTTTCATGCTCAGCAGGCCTTTGGTTCAGTTCAACAGCCCAGCGGTCCAGCTGGCGAAAGCCGTTATGAGGTACAGAGAACAGTTCGCGAGGCTGCCTGCTGCCCTGCAAGTTGATTGCATTTTCGTGCCGATTGACGCGGGTCCCAAACGGCGCCAGGATCAGCCGGCCAGAGCGGGTGCAAAGAGGAAACAATTGGCGACTGTGCCGTCTTCGTCGGTCGCTGTTGTCCACGATCTTCCCGCTCCGGTTCCGCCCTCGGATCGGCAAAGTCACGATGCGGCCGAGCAGTCCAGCGAGGCCACAGACTACGACGACGGAGCTCTGCGCCACCTCGCTCATCCCCGACATCGTCCCCGGGGAGGTGCAGGTGCCTTCGGCGAGGACGAATGCGAGGGCCAAGAGGGGGAGGGTGGTGGTGAGGAGGGGGATGAAGGTGACGAAGGAGATGCTGACGCTGAGGACAATGACGTGGACGATGAGAGAGACGTTGGTGGTGCGCGACTCGGGGACACTCGCTTCTCCCAATGTGAGCGCCCGCGCGACGGCAACGATTCGCGGGCGTGCCGTGGGGTTGATGCCTGTAGCGGCGCTGACGTGGATGGTGCTGGTGACCAGCCTGGGAACTCCCGTTCGGTGTCGCAGTCGCATAACCAGGCGACGGATGGGAGAGACAAAACTGCCTCACGGAGAAAGAGGAAGAGGGGAGAAGCGTCAACCTCTCCTGCGAGTCAAACGAAACAGGCGAGGGCTAACGCCGTCAACGAGGCTCGCAGAGCGTTGACGGCATCCTAGGAAGCCCGGGCTACTAGGAAAGGTGGCGGGGGGGGGGAAGTGCCAGTCGTGGCGGCGGTCGTGGAGGCGGTAGGAAAGGCTCGCAGAGGGCCAGGACGCATGAGCTGCGGGACTCGGGGGATGAGGGCGAGGGGGTGGGGCCTCGCATGCCCGAAGACGTCGACGACCTCGTTCAGCGCGCCGCGCCCCTCGACACGACACGGTGTTTCTTTCTCGAATACGACGAGCAAGGCTTTGCCAGGCAAGACGTCCATGTTGTTAACGTCGACGTCACAAGAATCAAACGCATTCCCAGCGGGCCTATCCTCTACAACCACCGCTCGTTGTCTGAGAACATTGTTAGAGGCATCGAGAATGCCATAGAAAGCTCCATCACTTCTGAACCGGGGGCGTGGGATAGACTTGAGGTTGTTCTTGCGCCAGTTGACCCTAACGACGTCGTCAACGGGCAGGGAAGGCGAATCACGCCAGACGAGTTCTTCCAAAGAGACTCTGCAGAGTTTGATTGGTACGCAGTATGTGGTCAGCATACCGCGGAGGCCATGAAACGGTTGGTGGAAAAGCACTCCGCTGCGGTCAAAGTCTATGGCCTGCGCGCGTACTCGAAAGTGCGAGTTGTCTTTTTCGACGATGACCAAACACGAGGGTACTTCAGTGTCTCCGCCTTTGACAACACACGGGAGCATCGCGCCATGATGTTATCATTCCAAGACGCTGTGCGTGATATGAGGCAATGGTGGATCGACAACGACGGAATCAAAGCCCCCAAAGCTAAGGTTAGCGAGAAGGATGCGGCCGCCGTGGCGCACCAGAAAATGACAAAACTTCCTCAGGGCCTGCATGAGGAAGGCGTGCGACAAGGCGTTTGTAAAACAGGCGCTGAACAAGGAATACAGTAAAGATTGGAGTAATAAACTCCGGGGGTACATGAACCTCACCACGTCCACCGCCGCAGTTTGGCCACTGGTGGAGAGGTTCTTCTCGATGTTCGAGGAGGGTAAGCTGCCAATCGGCGACGACAAGATCCCACTTGACATGCCGGGGAGGATGGAGGGGCGGCTACCCGGCCCGTACACCGACGAGAGCAGTCGTTGTACCACTGCATATACGCAAGAGATGGTCCCAAAGGCTCCATCGTGTCCTTGAAGGATTTGTGTCCTACATACTTCAAGAACTTCGGGGACATGACATGCCGTGAGCGAGAAGTCGCGCTACTCCTGCTCATGAAGGGGAAAGTGGTGACAACAAATGTCAAAGTCACGCCTCCGCGGGTGAACACGGAGTGCCTTCTCGACATTATGCGCAAAGAGAGATACATGATTCGCATGTTCAACTATGTCGTGTTCCGCACCGAGGAAAGGGGTGCTGAGGAGTGGAACGGCGACTTCTTCATGTCGTATAAGGACCTCGAAGAGAGGTATGCACAGAGTGGGCTATGCGCAGCTGAATGGGAGAAGGAACGAGAGAAGCTACATAGCAACAAAGTAAAGACGTTCCCTCGACGACTTGGAGGAGTGGATGAGGGAAGGCAAGGTGCGGGCTTGGGGCCAACAGAAGTGATGTACAAGGAGGCTCCGTTTCACTTCAAGGTGTTTATATACACTATGATCGATAAGCTCGATTTGCTTCGAGCGGAGGTGAAACGAATCGCCTCCAGCGCACGTCATCTTGTATGGCACAAATTCGGCAGGCAGACGATATTGCTTCCAGTATGCATGCGGACAAAGGAAGTATTGGCAGCGCCCGACGACGTCGTTGCCTCGGCGAAAAAAATGACATGCAGGGACGCCATCGTCGACATCTCGGCCACAAATTTCAGCAGTGCATGGACCTCGGAGGACTTTGATGCGCTATACAAAATGATGGAGAAGTGTTGTGGTCCGAATTGGGTCCTCTTCTTCTTTGCACCACAGAAGGTGCAAAGCAATGTCTTGCGTCACTTGTTCCGTTGGGAGGACATCGAACTCATCCCGGGGTCCTGAAAACGCGTGGACAGGTCATCGAGTGACGTAACAAGGTACGACAACATCGCTACGACGAGACGGGACTTGATGGTCATCGTGCTGCGCGCTGAAGGAGGGGATCTGAAAAAAGTAACTGTCGCGCCCCGACTTCACAACGATCTCACCGAGGTGCATGTTGTGGAGGATAAGTTCGGGAAGTGTCAGGGAAAACACGGTGGCGTCGAAGGCGACGAAAGTGTTGTGTATTCGGTTTGGGAGCGAGAATCCGGAAAGTTGCGGAAGTTGTGCAGTTCATTCGTGGGAGAGGCGGAAGGTGTCCTTTTGCTGGGTAGGGCGCACGCGGGTCTTGTATGGGAGTTCTTGCTTGCAGGTAATAATGTCATTGCCTGCGACGAGTCGGCCAAGGACGTTGCATACTTGACAAAGTTCATCGACATACTTGTCAAGGAGGAGAGATTCGAGTGCCGGCTCGAGAAGCTGCGTGCCACATACCGCACCAACAGGGATATGTACCACAAGTTGGGACCAAAGAGACAAAAGGTGTGGGAATACCTGTCCTGCGATACGCAGGAGGGACGTCTTGACGGGAGATATATATATATAAGAAAGCTAAGGTGACAGAAGCCCTCAAACATTATCACGGTGCTCTGACTGGCGCCTTCGAGACATTCGTTGCTCGATGCGAGATCTTGAAGTTTGATCTTCACAAAGATCGACTCACGTTCAAGGACTACGCAGACCTCGCTAAATCTGGTGAAGGCTTTAACCCCGTCGACAGAGAGGAAGACTCGGCGGACTCCGACCTCGACATTGGAAACGACACCAATGCAACCGGGTGGCGTGGCCAGTCCGCTGCCATGGAGCACGACGGAAAGGAATATGGACCGGGTCGATCAGAGGGATGCTCGACCCCGCCACCCGCAAACAGTGTGGCCTCGATGGTGGATCGGGTGGCGTGTACGCCTATGGAAGAAGGTGAGGACGATGAGATTGATATTCCTGCTCAGGCAACGAAGCTGGCGTCGGGCGATCCAATTCCTCATGCCTTTTGTGCGGACCCGGACACTGTGCGTTTCTTGGAGGACAAACACACCCGCACTGGGGAGGACAAGTGGGGCCATGATATCATTTGGCATGTCGACATTTTCCAGCCATGCATCCAAGATGGGGAGTGGAAGATGGCGGTGAAGTATGAGAAGGGTTGGAGACCGTTTCCCCGCATGGGTAAGGACAGCTGGTTGAAAACGACGGAGCAAGTAATTTTATACGGCGTGCGGAAAGAGAACCCCGGGGAGAGCGAAAACTCCATCGCAACAAAGGCGAAACAATTGTTCAATGCCTTGCGAGCCTCTTGGCAGTTGGAGTACAGACACAATTTTTACGAGTTGCAGACGAGTCCCTCGCGCGGATCAATTGACTGGAAGGTCGACCGCATCGCCGCGGCCGAGAGCACAGAGGTGGACTCCCGAGAAGATGTCTCTCTTGTGTCCGAGGCGGCGGCAGGGATCACGAAGGGTGAACAAAGGGAAGATGTCGGGACCACGTCCGCCTTGAAGCCTCCTTTGCCAGAGGTGGGGAACACGTCCGCAGGCAAAGAGCCCATCATAGTCATCTCTATCGAAACAGGGGATATATCACAAGGTGGACATGTGTCACTCGACAAGCCGTCGGATGCGGGCGCAACATACGGGAGTCTCCTCGCGACAGGTGCGACAATGGCAGGCAGATCAGAGATTGAGTTGGAGTCCACTGCTGGGATGGACGTCACGGGAATGTTATTGCATCCGCCCTCATGCACTAGCAAAGGTGATGCACACTGCACAACAACATCACAGGGAGGGGCCGCAGGAGATGACGGGGATGGGGGGAATGCAGAGGGGTCTCAATGTTCTCGCAATCTTGAGCACATGACCACGGATGATGAGGATGGGGCAGAAGGTGGAAAGGGCGTGATCGATCCCACACATGTAGAAAATGAGGGGTGAGACAGACAGGGGATGAACTCGAGGAAAAATGTTTTCATTTGTTTCCTCATTTGTTTTAAATCTAGGTTTGTGGGCGAAAATTTATTCCTGTATACAATTCGGTGGTTTACTCATTTGTTTTCAATGTAAGTTTTAGGGATTTGACCATTTCATTGCTGCCAATAAAATTGTGCGGTGAACAGGAGTGTGTCGTGGTAAGCGTGTGTGTCTCTTTATGTTCGTCAATGTGTGGCGGTATGTATATGCATGTATGTGTTTAGGGTACGGTGGCGAAAGGGGGCAGGAGTCTGGAATTTATGACGAAAGGGGACAGGGTTCATAAGATTAGAGAAACATTGATGACGGATATTGAATACATTGTTTGTGGTGCTCATGTTATGGTAAGGCACTTGCCCATGTACAAGTATCTCACCTTCATTCCCTCCCCGTTTTTCACACCGCCTAGGCCACCGTTTTTGTACACCGTCGTCTGAGCGACCGTTTTTTACACCCCCCCCCCTCGACCACTATTGTTTACACCCCCGTCAATATCGTATTCGTCGTGATTGTCGTGTGCAGTACAAATTACAACAGCGGATGCAAGAAACTGCAAAAGAGGGTGGACAATGCGCCTCGCAACGTCGTCTTTATCAGAGAAGGAGATGAAAGCACTCCTGCGTGTCATCCGGGAGTACGGGAATAGGTTTCCATTAGCGAGCACACACAATCACGGGATGAACGAAGTATTGAAGCTAAGTCGAGACAATTTTATTTTACTGGTCGGCGAACGAAACTGGTTAAATGACAATGTCGTCAACTTCTACCTTAACCTCATCGCACTGGACAATTGGTGTAGAATCACACACGTTGAATGCGACGCAGAGAACGAAACCATGATTAGAACAGGAAAGAGTCGCATTCCCAGAATATCAGTGGTGAGCTCATTTTTCTTCGCCAAACTTTTCGACAACGATATGAGACATCGAGAGCGAGAGGTGCAACACTGGTCGAATGACGTTATAATAAGTGACATGGACTTGATAATTGCCCCTTTTCATATCCCACACATGAACCACTAGACCCTCGTTGTGGCCGACTTCAGGAGGAGGAAATTCGAATTCTACGACTTCCTCAACCCTGACATTGAACTGGCAAGAAAAGTGACCCGCGGATTTGCAAAGTTTCTATTCGAAAGATCGATTGAGCAAGGCAAAGAGGTGGACATGAAACCGTTTAATCATATATGGAACGTAGAGGGCGTCCCGAAACAACGTGACACTAGCTCATGCGGGGTCTTCATGCTCGCATACGCATCGCTCTTGGCAATGGGTCACCTTCCGCCTTTCTCTTTCACCGCTGATGACATACCCGCAATACGTTGTCGGATGGCTTTGGACATAGTGCCTCGTGAGTAGTATGTACCTGTTGCTGGATATTGTGATCACATGCAGACGGATGTGGGTAACATTAAATTGTTTGTAACAGAAACAGTGTATAAAAGGTGACAAACATTGCTCCAGACCCCTACACCTTACCCCTTGCCATTTACCCCTTATCCCTTACCCCTAAACCCCTTACCCCCGAGAGAAGGTTAACAACAGTCATATTTTTCATCACCACTTCAGGACACCCTTCACCACTTCCGGATGCAGCCTGCCTAAACAGGTGGTTTTCGGGGTCTTCGGACCTTTCACCACTTCAGGATCATTTAGGTCTGAAAATCCCGAATGGTCTTGAAGTGGTGAAAGCTTCGAAGACCGTGAAAACCACATGTTTAGGCAGGATGCATCCTCAAGTGGTGAAGGGTGGTTTTCATGGTCTTCGGACCTTTCACCACTTCAGGACCATTCAGGATTTTCAGCATGCCCAAAACTCTCACTTGACCACTTCAGGACACCCTTCTCCACTTCAGGATGCAGCCTGCCTAAACAGATGGTTTTCAGGGTCTTCGGACCTTTCACCACTTCAGGACCATTCAGGATTTTCAGACTGCCAAAAACTCTCACTTCAGAATTTTCATTCCTGAATTTTCAGCTACCCAATAACTGCTTGTGTTACCCCCTACCCCTTACCCCTTACCCCTTACCCCTCACCCTATACCACATACCTCGAATTTCAAATGCTTTTTGCACTTACTCTACGTCACTCTACTCTTCTCTACTACGCGACACTCTACTCTATGACACTCTACTCTATGACACTCTACTCTATGACACTCCACTCTATGACACTCTACTCTATGACACTCTACTCTATGATACTTTACTCTACTACATTCTACTCTACGACACTACGGTACGTACTCTAACCTACTCTACGACAATTTATTCTACGACACCAACCTCTACTTTACTCTACTTTATGACACTCTATTCTGTGAAAGTTTACTCTACTCTACGCCCCACCCACCCACCCA